CCTGCAGGAAGGCATCGAGAAGACTGAGAAACTGGATGAAGCAGGAGGGCAGATGCAAGACGTATACAACGAGGAAGGTAGCTCGCGAGGAGGCTCCTCTCAACAGGAGGAAGACCAGAGTGGTAGAGGAAAACCCCGCGGCCAGCGCGAACCGTACTATGCCCGCCTGTTCACGGCAGAAGAACTCGACGGCCTCGAAGCTAAAAGAGTAACAGGGGTTTCTGAAGAGAAGGAAGAATACGACAAGGAGCTCGAAGACCGCCTCATCGGTCTTGACGAAGTTGCACTCAAGGAACGTGTGAAGAAGAATGCTGAAGGGCAAAAGGCTGTGTCGTTGGGCGAGCTTAGCAAGATACTAGACATCCCTGAAGAAGTGTTAGCTCGAACCCGCGAGGCTGCTCCCGAAGAGCTGTCCTCTCCTGAATATTGGCTAGAGTGGTACCGAAAAACACTAGCCACGACTGAAGCTGCTAAACGTGCGAACCGTGACTTTAGGTCAACCACGAATGAGAAGGCCGTGCTTGAAGTCGAGCGGGAAAACGGCGTCTTCGCTCGAACAAACCCTTTTGACGACGCCGACAAGGGAGAGTTGGAGGAACCCGGAGGAGTGTTCTCCGAGAGCACACCCTCCGCCTGAGAAGTCCAAGCCTCCGGACGAGACCGTCGACGTCGACTAATTCGTAGTACAAGAAAATGTTGGTGTGGAGCTATTTGAACACCCCCCTGTAGTGGGACCGGTAAGTCCGCCAGGTGGAAGACCGGTCGACCGTGGAAAGCTACCCGCTGAGTGGCGTGGACTAATTCGCAGGGTCGTCTATCTGCTCGTCCGCCTGGAAGAAATACAGAACGGTTCGCTTTGTCTCCAGTGCCAAACGGCCAAACCGTCAATCGAAGTGCTCTCGGATAGAGAAACCGTACCACGGAGAGAGCAAGATCTGAGGGCGAGGGCCTACCGAGTAGTGAACCACTTCGTCGACCCCAAGGAACCTGCATTGAGAGAAGGGATACTTGAAGGTATAC